ATATATGGACTCGTAATGATCCGCCTGTTTACAGACTCCCAAGAGCTGGGATTACAGGCGCGTGCCACCACACCCAGTCTCAATTGCCCTCTCCGCACCCCAAAAGCAGGACTGGCAAGGCAGGCCCAGGGATTGAACCCCCAGCCCCTGCACCTGCTTGTAGGTGCTTTAATCCGGCTGGCTCTATATTTATATTTTTAAATAAATCTATTTATTAAATTCCCTAAGTGTTCTCATTCTTTAGCATGGTGCATGCTGTCAGGTAATGTCTTCATTTCAAAGTAGTCAGTTCTGGAAGAAAAATTTCCTGATCAATATGGGTCATAGTGACAAGGGTCCCTAGGTTTTATTTTCTTCTTTCTTATCAGATGCTATGAAGGCTTTTGTTCTTGTTCTTGTTCTAGATACTTCTGGACACCTTGTAAATATATCAGATATATTTCCAATCCCCAGTACCTTAGAATACGGAAACAAAGTTTACAAAATAATTAATGCAAACATGACTTGGTATGCGGCAGTAAAAGCCTGCCTGATGCATAAAGCAGAACTTGTCAGCATTACCGACCAGTACCATCAGTCCTTCCTCACTGTGGTCCTCAGCCACCTACGACGTGCCCATTGGATTGGACTATTCACCCCTGATGTAAGTGTCCTAAATCTTTGGAGCATCTGTGCGTACGTGAGCTTCACATCTACCTCCTTAGTGACAGGAGGCAGCCACAGAAATGAGCACAAAAACTAATTTCCTAACAGCAGTAAATTTACGGTTTTGATACTTGGTTTACACAAAAGCTGCTAACTAGCCTCAAAACGAGCTGTCTATGACAACACAACAAGAATGTCCATCTTTCTAAGATAAACATCAACTTGCTTAATTTTCTTTTTCTTTCTTTCTTTCCTTTCTTTCTTTCTTTCTTTCTTTCTTTCTTTCTTTCTTTCTTTCTTTCTTTTTCTTTCCTTTCTTTCCTTTCTTTCCTTGGTGTTTAGTACAGAGTGTACAGGGTCTCACTGCATAGATCGTACTCCTAGTGATCCTCCTGTTTACAGCCTCCCAAGGGCTGGGATTACAGGCCCTCACCACCACGCACAGTCTCAATCGCCCTCTCAGCGTGCCCCAAGGATGAGGCCGGCACTGCACACCGAGGATCGAACCCCCACTGCTGTGCTCTGCCTAAGCAGGCGCTGTAGTCTGCTGAGCTATCTGGCTGGCCCAACTTGCTTAATTTTTAGACTTAATGCTCCTCTAAAGTTCTCGGAACACTTCCTAACACCCCCTGAACCCTGCCACATCTATGCGTCAGAACACATCTTGAACTTAAGCACTGTGTGGGGGTAATTTGTTATACAATGGGAGTTCCCAAGAAAAATGACCCATGCTTCCTGCTTAGAAAGTTGATTGGTAATCAATTCAGTATCTCTTGAAAGTTAACATGTGCGGAGTAGGTTTTGTTTTCTAGTAGTGGGATTTGGAGGGTAAGATTTTGTTTTCTGGTATTTTTAAATAAAAGTATTACAAAATACAGTAAAAATTAAACACAATTCTATCTTGAACTCTAGTTCCACTCCCCTTGTAAGCAATTTTTTGTGTGCCATCTAGAAATTAGCTGTGTATCCACATTTTGCACATGTAATAGAGAAATATGGACATTCTGTTTTAAATACAAATGAGATCATATTGTGAATGTGCTCCTTAAATTTGTCTTTCTATTTAATGTGTCTTCTGTAATTTTCCTCCTGAGCACATAAAAATTTCATGCACCCTCTGGAGGTAGGACATAAGAATATACTGTGTCACAATTCATTGAAACGTTCTTGGGGCTAGGGAGATGGCTCAATGGAATAAGCGCTTCCCTGGCAAGTGCAAGGGCCTGAGTTCAATCCCCGGTTCTGCAAAAAAAAAAAAAAAAAAAGAAAGAAAGAAACATTCTCCTTTGAATACATGTTTGCACAACAAAAAGTATTTGCAAAGTTAGGATAAGTTTCCAGAAGTGAAATTGCTAAGCACACTTAAATTATACCAAGTACTGTCAAATCATCCTCCAAGAGTTTGTACACTTGTATACACTATATAGTAACATCTAGTTTCTGAGTTTTGTTTTTTTGTTTTGTTTTGTTTTGTTTTTTGTTTTTGTTTTGTGAGACCCTATGTAGTTCAGGCTGGCCTTGAACCCACTATGTAACCCAAACTGGCCTCGAACTTCAGCAGCGCTACTGCCTCAGCCTCCCAAGTGTTGGCATCACAAGAGTAGCTGCCATGTCTGGTGTCTTATTTAGGGTTTTTCACATCCTTATTAGCACACAATATTATCAGTGTGTTAATCTTTGCCAGTGGAATGAGTGAAAGAATGGTATTGTACAGTTTTTATTGTATTTTTGTATCAGTCAATATTACTGAATGGTCTCTGGATTTTGTATGACTTAGATTATGCATCAAGTGTATTTTTTAAATTTAGCTAAATTTTCTTTAACATTGTTATGTTTTCAATCTTATCTTGAATTATTGATTAATCTGGAATTAATTGTGGTGTAGAAATGCAAGGTTTTGATATGTTTCCCTCTGATTACTTACTCAGAAATTATGGTGGCAAGAATTTGAAAGCCAAAAAAAGATGTCACTTATGGAACATAATTCCTTTTGGTCAGGCTGATTCATAAGCTGTCTTACTGAAAAAAAAAATTATGGAAATAAAAATCTGTGTGGGAAACATGGGATGCTTTGGCAGCCCAGGTAGCCTTGCCAGCAGCAACCCAAGCAAATGATGACCCCATTTCCCTCCACAGAATGGCCGTAATTTTGACTGGTCAGATGGCACCAAATCCTCTTTCACTTTTTGGAATGAAGAAGAGCCATCCTTCCTCGGTGATTGTGTTTTTGCTGACACAGATGGACGTTGGCATAGTGCAGCCTGTGAGTCATTTCTGCAGGGTGCCATTTGTCATGTGCCCACTGGTAGGTACATTATATTCAACTTGAAAATATGTCCTGTGTAAGGATGCACTGGGGGGGGGGGGGGGGGGGGGGGGCGGGGCGGGGATGAGTTGTGAGAAGTCTCTCCTCTGGTCAGTGGATATAAAGACAAATGACTGTTGTTCTAGGCCTGGTTTTCAAATAAGATAGCAAGTGCTGGAGGACTCCTCAAGGAAAGAATGCATTGTAGCCATTTGGGGAAGCGCAGAGGGCTTCTTGAAGGACATGGCAGTGCAGATGGGCCTTGAGACAGTGAGTTGTAAATAGACAATAATAGAACATCCTGAAGCATTCTTAGGAGAAAAGCTGAGACAAAAACAGAGATGGCGAGATGGGGCATGTGTGAGGCAAAGCTGGTGCTGAGATTTTCCTACATCACAGGTTACAGGTAAGGGAGAGAAAGACAACCAGACTAGAAACAAACAACAGGAACATGCACAGAGAACTGTGACTGAGGATTTGATTCACTGATAATCAAGATTTATTGTGCCTATCAGAATATATAATATAAATAATTCTGTTCCTAATGTGCTATAAAACCTGCTCTTCCCTTTTTGAAAACAATAAATTCACTGAGTATCTGGGAAGTCCCAGGAACTAATGCATTCTAGCTTCTAAAATTGTAAAAGTGTTAGCTCGCTTTATGAAAACAAACAAATAAAAAACCTGCATGCAGGGTAATGTGCCTACAGCCACACATAGCAAGTGGCGGAGCTGGGATCTCAGCATAAATGTGTCTGACTGCCTTGCTTACTGCCTGATGTAAAGTTCCCTCAAGTTTCTTTTATTTGATGATAAGATACTTTATTAAATGCATTATTTTCTCACATAGATTTATTAGTAAGAGTTTTTGTTAGACTCTATGATACTCAGCACTGATAGAACGTAGCTCATTCATTTGGAAATCCCTTTGCCAGCATCATTTTGCTGCCACTATTTCCAGAAATCACATTTTCCAGATATCCCAACCTTGTTGTAAACATGACCCAGTCAGGACTTCAACTGAGCTTGCAGAACTATGCTTCAGTATACCTTGCTGTGCTTAGGTGAGGATTGCTTCTGCCAAAAATGCTGAAAACTGGCTAAAGTTTTATAATCATTTAATTTAAATCTAATCTTTCAGGGCATTACCATGAAAATCTTACTACCTTGGTCTTTCATAGAATATAATGCAATGTTTTATTTTAATAGACAAACCCCACCTCCACCCTGAAATTATAACTGGTTTTTCTTTATAGAGACAAAACTATTTGAACAACCAGTGTTGTGCTCAGAAACATCTATACCCTGGATAAAATTTAAGAGTAATTGCTACAGCTTTTCTACAGTCCTAGACAGTATGAGTTTTGAGGCTGCTCGTGAATTTTGCAGAAAGGAAGGTAATTCTTTTGTGATGATAAAATGCTTTCATGTGCTCTCTCTTGACATTTCAGTAAGCAATGTGGTTTCATCGTGTATCTGATTAGTGACATTAAAAGTAACAGGAAAACTACTAAAAAGTGCATATTATTGAGTTTCTTTATTTAAGGGGCAGCTAATATATGCAACTATATATATGCAATATATGTCCAATCTAGAATTTGAAAATATAAAATAATTTTTCAATATATTGCACTTTTCCAAAAAAATTCCTTTCGGGCCGAGGAGATGGCTCAGTGGAACAAGCGCTTCCCTGGCAAGCGCAAGGGCCTGAGTTCAATCCCCGGTTCTGAAAAAAAAAAAAAAATTCCTTTCAAATGCACTGAATTATGAATTTCCAATGTTCTCTAAAATTAATACTTCTTTTATTTCTTAAGCATAAGCCTATATCTTTTTAATAAGTATGGTTTTGCTTTAAAGTTATAATCAAAAATCATTTATTAATGAGGGAATTTTGGGGTTGTGTGTTGTGTGTATCAGAGCTAGATCACATACTTAGCATGTATGAGGCTCTGGTTGGCCTCCCAGGGTCAAGTGCACATGCCCATGCACACACACATACACATATACACACATGCATATACACAAACACACATAATGGAATTTTTGCCTCTTTAAGTCCTGAACTATACAAGTAATGGTACAGGAAACATTTTTTTTTAATTATATGTTTGTATAAGCACAAACACTTGCTCATTTGCTATTTTCTCTTTTGCAGGATCTAATCTGTTAACAATCAAGGATGAAGATGAAAATTCCTTTCTCCTGGCAGAGCTCTTAGCTTTTGGTTCCTCTGTCCAGATGGTTTGGTTGAATGCTCAACTTGATAGTAACAGTAAGGAATTTGAAAAGAGATGGGGAGAGGGCATAAATACAGGGCTGTTAACACTGGTGGTGGTGGGCTGGAGAGATAGCTCAGTGGACTAAAACGCCTGCTTAGGCAAGTTCAGAAATCACGGTTTGATTCCCAGCACCACATGCCAGGTGTGGTGGCGCTTGCCTGTAGTCCCAGAACTTGGGAGGCTGAAAGCAGAAGGATCACTGCGAGTCTGAGCTGCATAGTGAGACCCTGCAACAACAAAATACACTAAAAAAAGGACTGGTGATAATGGCATCTGTGAGCCAGAAAATTCTCACTGGACACATTTGCTGGGAAGAAAACAAACAAACAAACAAAAACCCAAAACTAACGTGAATCCTTAAGCATTTTTCCAAAAACAACATTGTTGTCTTCTTTATGCCCTTTTATCCTTTGAAATAATCCCAGAAAAAGATATCAAAACAAACAAACAAGTATGGCTTTATACTGACTGTGAGGATGCTTGGCTGGAACTCTGTCCAGAGACTCAGTCGCAGCACACCACAACCCTACTGACTTGAAAATACCCCAGCTTCCGAAGAGTTATAAAAGCACAGCAGAGTTATGGAAGTGTTGCAGTCATAAATTGCACTATTAGAATTCTTATTTGCTGCTCATAGAAATCAGAGTTTGTAATAAAAGAAAGCATGGTGTTCTTTTCTTTATGTAATTGATGGCTATATTGAAAGGTATTACTTATAAGGAAGATTATTTTAATTGTCATGAAGAGCTTGCTGCAGTGGTATACCAGGGCAGGGGGTGAGCCTACCATTGCAAGGAATATTTTAAAACTGACATTATTTAGAATTTCTAGCAGATGATGATAGTAAAAGGCAGGCTGACTTTTAGATAATTTTATTGTTAGAGTTCTTTTCAGACAGTGCGCCCCACGCACACCTTGTTGCCTATGCCCATGATGGACTCTCTCACTGTCCTCCTCCCTAGGTATATTATTGGCTTCTTATTTAAAATGCAGTGTAAAATTCTTTTAGAGAGTGAGTCACTTTGTAATGATGTAGCTGTAGAACTTCAAAGGATTCTTTCTTTACATTGACTTTCATTTAGCAAACGATTTCTTTAAGTTGGTTAAAAATTACGTAGTACATTTAAAAATTCAAGCTGTTATGTTAAAAAAATGATATCTAACTAAATGAGAACCATATATCTAAATTAAATAAAGGGTTGTTCACAAGGTAACTTTGTTAATACCTACCTGTTAATGTTGGGTTCAAGACAATAAGTATGGAGGTAGGCAGATGCTTCCAAAAGAATCTTATTAAACTTGGGGGGTACTTTTTATGGTTCTTCATCTCACACTTAGAACATCTTATAATCATGCTCATTACTCATAGTAATTCTGTAGTTTTTCCACAGATGAAACGATAAAGTGGTTTGATGGAACGCCCACAAACCAGTCAAACTGGGGCATTCGGAAACCAGACCTGGAGCCCGCCAAGTCCCACCAGTGCATTGCCCTGAAGATTCCTGAAGGAGTGTGGCACTTATCTCCGTGTCAAGACAAGAAGGGGTTTATATGTAAAATGGAGGCAGGTTGGTAACATCAGTGGATAATTCTTCATTTCAGTTGTACCCTGTTTACTGACAATCTACCACTTTAGTGTTTAAGGGTTTTTGCTAAATCCACACATTCAGAGGTTATTTGATAGGCTCTGACATTATCATTTTATTCTATTGCAAACAAGCCAGAGACTATTCAGCCCCCTTTCTTCCACTGATATGAAAGAAAAATCCTTATAAATGCAAAGACTCTATGACTTTCTTGTGATATACTGGCTTTAACTGAACAGGTAAAAAGGAGTTTACCTCAAGCAAAGAGAACTAGAACTTAAATCAGCAACTTTCATTAAAATGATGCTACTAAGAATGCTAAAGTTTCATCTTCAACCTCAAGAAATTGAATCTATATAGTTGGTATATATTTTTGTGAACAAGTATATGTGATTCTCTGTTGGAAGTAATCATAAAAATTATATTTAACTTCATTGTGAACAGTATACTTAGTATATACTGACAAAGTTAATTTTAGAAATATAAGCCAGAGATTCAAGTCAGCTGCAAACAACAACAGAGAAATCTAAAACAGGATGCTATCTCAGTTATTTTTCTCTCATTACTCAGACAAAATACCCAACTTCCAAAATTAAGGAAGGAAAAGTTTATTCAGCTCACAGTTAGTGGAGGTTTCAGTCCATATTCGGCTGGCTCCAAGGCAGACTGGCACATGGCAGAAGTCAGCAGTTCATGGCAGTGAAAAAACAGCAAAGAGTAAAGGGAGGAGCAGCAGATTCAGCAGCTAGCAAGCCTCTCTACCTTCCTTATACTGTATTCAAGCTATCTGCCCCAGGGTAGATATAGCATTCACACCCATAATTCCAGCATTGGGTCATGAATTAATCACAAATGCTAGAAGTCACCCCACGACTACATGAGGCTTTGTGGGAACAACTAGACACAAACCGTAACAGACGCCAAGAAGGATCATGAGTGGTGGGAAGGTATTTATAATAATCCAAATATAGTCTAGATGATATTACATCAGGAAGGAGAGATTGGTGGTCCCTGGGCTGCTGAAGAAGTCTCTGGACATGAGGCTCTGGAATCTCAGAGGATGAAGGGAATTGTAGATGCTGGAACAGAAGCAGAGCAAAGGCCTAGAATAGCCAAAGGCAGCAATGAAGAATGAGTTTAGGCTAGAGAAGAAGGATCCTATTTGGAGTGATGAAAATATAACTGACCAATGAGGCAGGTTCAAGCCACAGAGACAAACAGGTTGAGCACCCTGGTGGAGGAAACCGGAACCCACTGTATGCTCTGTGGCTACCTGCAATGCAATTGCACTTACCCAGTGTGAAGATCAGCATGTGTAATCTCAGTGATAGAACTTAAAAGGAGGGGACAAACAGAAGGGGAAACTCATCAAGATTGGAGTCTGATTAGACAGTTGGAATGAAGGGAAGAAAATCAATCTGTGAGTGTGTGCACCAATGTTTGAAACCCAAGCAGCGTCAGTATTAATTGTGTGTAAGAAACATGACTGAAGCTAACCAATGGTATGTCCAAGTTATGACCAGCATCTAAGTATCAAGAACAAATCAGAATCATGATGTCCTGTTATATGTATAGGATTTCAAAGTATTTATATAATACATGACCCCTCTCTTATCCTCACAGCAACTTCCCAAGGTAATGGAACAATTAAAATATCCCCACGTTATAGATGAGGAAAATATTTGTCCAAACTGAGTCCACATGAAGGCCTGCACTGCAGATTTCCTAAGAGCTCTTTCTCTTTGCTTATCCTGAATGTAACTTTTAACAGTCTTTAATACAGAAGTACTTTCATGCACAATAATGTTTCAATAATTTAATGCCAAATTGTATCACATTATTTTTATATTACAAAACCAAAGTTTTTTAAATGTAGTTTGCTATTGATAACACAGTAATATTTCTTACATGTCTTTGGAGTGAGAGCAGAGCATCGAGGTATCTCCTGCTCTCACAGATGTATTCATCGACTTTCTCTGGATCATCCTCTGCGTCTTTCTCAGGGCTTGACTTTGATCAAAAATTGCAGAGTTCAAGTTTGAGATAGTCCACTTGAAAGAGATATATGTGCACAACAGAAAGTCCTAAAACAGGGGGAGGTATTATCCATTTCCTAAGATTCTTTAGCTGACAGAGGTAAGAAGATGCTGGTTATAAATCCTTGCATGGAGCCAGGCAGGTTATTCTTGCTGGAAAGAATCTGCAATAGATCCCCAAAAATCTTTATTTTACTTGTATTTCTATTGCACAACAGTGCTGAGACTTGATGAAAATTCTTTGACTAAAAAAACTGAGTGTATATTTGTGAGCACTAATAATAAAAAAACCCCTATAAATTCAGAGCCACTTTAGGCTGTAGGGACCATATGGTCTCTGTTGTTCTGGTATTGCTTTATGGAGACAGTAAAAGATAATACATAAATGAGTAAATATGGCTGAGTTCCAACAAGACATTATTTATAGAAATAAGTGGCCAGATTTGACCCAGGAGCCATAGTATGCTGAACCCTGCTATATGTAGTGACATGACTTTGCTGAAAACCTTAATTAGAATTTTTTATTGATTTTAGATATTCACACTGAAAAGGAGCTTCCAGGAAAAGGTAGGCTGGGAAAACTTGTTTTTTTTCTTAGAAATAATAGAATAGCAATTATGTGACATTAGCTCTATGACTGCAGTGTCACCAAGATCTTCTGTTTCTTCATGTTCTTTCAGAGCCCAGTCACAGCGCTGTTCCTCTGGCAATTGTACTGACACTGATAATAATCCCGGTCATCTCCACACTTTCCGTCTACGTCTACAAGTGGAATAGTAGCTTCTTCCGGAGACTTGCAGGGCTTGGGAATCCTTACTGTCCTATGACCAGCTTTAGTACGGTACATTTAGAGGAAAATATTGTCATCTCTGATCTTGAGAAGAGTGACCCATGACAGGGAAGTCTGAGAATACGTCAGCCAGGAAGCTGAATAAGGAAGACCCAAGCAGTGCTGTCTGTGTTTCTCTTGTACCAGGTGCCCTTAGAATGTGAACAGTCTCACTGCTTTAATTATTCTTAAAGTAAGTAATAGTCTTTAATTAAAACCATTATCACATGGATTTTGATTTATTCATTTCCTTAAACTGATCCATTGTTAAAAAGGGCACTTTTCAGAAAGAGGTATTAAGGGAAACTTTAATGTGTGGGAAAACTCACAAACCAATGTGAATAACAGTTTTTGCATTAATAAGTTCTAACTAAAATGTGGGGGAAATTTTAAGACTAATCTGGTGCCTATTCAAGTAAAAAAGAGAAAGAAGAAGCAAAACAAATTTTAAATCTTTTTTTATATATATGAGAAGAAAAGGCTTCTGAAATGGTTTTCTGTTTGTTCTAATTTAATCATTCTCATAGCCAGGCTTGGAAAATACCAATTTCTAAGTTAAAACTCAGATTCTGAGCCAAGCCTGGAGACACATGGCTGTAATCCCAGAGATTTTGCTGGAGCAGAAGAAATGCAAGATTCAGGCCAGCCTAGGCAATTTAGCAAGACTCCATCTCATAATAAAATATTTTTGAAAGGGCTGGGGCTGTAGTTCAGTGATAGTAGAACTCCCCTAAATTCAATCCCGAGTAACATGAAAAGAAAAAAAAAAAAAAACTCTGGTTCTGGGCTCTCACCTAATTTAAGGTGATATTCATTTACACTGGGCCTTTCAGGCTAAAGAAGAAAAATTATTCTTTTTTATCTTAATGAGAAAAAAAATAGCAATGAAAAAGTTTCAAAACAGGCTAGTAGGACAGTTACAATAATTAATACATTACATACTGTTTTCTTCATAGTAGCTATTCAGAGAACAAGATGTGGACATGGTATCTTGTCTAAACAATATTAGTACAAACCTTTCTTCTCATTGAACTAAGAGAAAGTAGCTGTATATATATATCCTATTTTGTATACAAATTTTTTTTCCTGCAAAACGGTCCTTTATTTATATCCCCCTTTTTTGCTCTGTTTTGTTAGAGATGGGTGTCCCATTGCTGTTAGAGAAGCTGTATTTGGAGAAGCCTTTAAAGGACTTTTTCATACTTGATGCCAGTTCAAATACTGTAGGTACTTGAATTCAGCAAAATAAGCCAATATAGTCCAATAGTCTGAAAAAATTATTTTTGTTACAGTCTCACTGTAGGGGCCAGACTGACTTCAAATTTGCAGCAATCCTGCCTCAGCCTTGTATGTACACAATTTATAGCTATTTTATACTAACCTCAGCTTGGTTACATTTCTTTAAATAGTAGAGACATAGATGAACACGATGAACACACACTCTCATAAGCTGCCACGCTGTTAAAAAGTAGCTGGACAACTTCAATTGCTGTTTAAAACTTTAAAATATCTTACAAATATTTGAACAGTGTTAAAACTCTTGGGCTTCAAGAACTAAAGATATGTAAATTCTTAACCACAAGATATAAATTATAACTAGAATTTAAAAGGGAATAATTGAGAGTCTGAGTTATAGGCTCATTAGAAGCAGATTAAATGACATTGAGAGGTACTGCGTAAATTACTCTCCAGTAGCAGTCTAGATGCCTTCGTTATACAGGTGGGTTGATTTAGGTTTCCTTTGTAACATATTACGACTGCTAGAAAACATCTCCTTTTGTGTTGGACTAGCTGATTAATAATGACAAAAAGTTTGATATCGCTGGCAAATAATAAAATCAAGGGTTTGCTCTTTCTTCATCATTCTCTAAAAAACAAAAATGTTTCCATGGTGGAAACATTTTTGTTTCCATGTCCGCATGGATACCATGGACATGGATACCATGTCCGCATCTTGTTCTCTGAATAGCTACTATGAAGAAAACAGTATGTAATGTATTAATTATTGTAACTGTCCTACTAGCCTGTTTTGAAACTTTTTCATTGCTATTTGTTCCTCATTAAGTTTACTCATCACATAGATTTTTTTGAGTTCCTATTAAAGACAAACCACTATTCTAGAAAGTGGAGTGTCTAGGAAGGCAGGTCAGGACATCTCAGTGTTTGTAGCACCTACATTCTGCTGAAGGAAGATGGACAGTAACCCAATAAAGAAGTCTATGTGCAAAAAATAGCAGGTGATTATGAAAATTAAGGGCTTGTGACAGAGGGAGATGGGGAATTTCAGAGCTTTCCTGAGAGTGTGCATTTTAATTACAAGCAACTGCCTCAATGCGCTGACCACTCGTCACAAGGGGGAGCTCCGGGCGAAAATATGAATGAATTTCCAAGTGGCAGCCCAAGATCCTTGGAAACATAATGTGAAAAATATTGGAGCTGTATATGCTCTGAGAAAGAGGTCCAGGTGGCCTGCAACAGTTAGTGCAGCTTCTTATAGCAGCTCCTTACTACTGCTGTATAGATTATACACTAAGACAACCTAATTTTATATAATGTTTCTAAGTCTTAGAAATTCATTTTAAAAAAATTATTATGTTGTGTAGCAGTTGTATATTTAAGACTCACATGAATTGGCCTGAAGTAAACAGATGGTATAAAACTCAATCTAGCAATCTGTCAAGTGAGATTAAAATTCCATTCTTTTCAGTGAAAACTATCAATTAGCCTTCCAGTCAAAGCCCCCCACACACACACACACACCAATTTGACAAAATCTGTCAGTAGGAAAGTACTTTTGCAGAACGAAACAATAATGCTTGTAAGTGTTTTGTATTTTCATAGTATTTAATATTGAACCAAATCTCCAGGGAATCTGTCCCTATCAACAGACCATGCACTCCTTTCTACTGCTGAAATTTCAGAAATAGAAAGCACTGATGTATACTATTTTATTCATGCATGTGCATTTTCTATAATCTTTCCACATCTATTTTAAATCGGAATTATATTTCATAGCTACAACATGAAGAGTGAAAAAACAGGATCTCAAGCTCACACATAATTAATACGCCTTCTCCTGTTAAAACTCAATTATTTCCTGTGATTAACGTCATTATCTTTATAGACTGAGGACATAGAAAATCTTGGACTTTCCAGTTAATATCTTCTGATTCCAAATGTTTCCTTCCAGATTACTTTCTTCTATTTCAAGTTCCACTCATTATCAAAGGTGGATTAGATGATCTGTTTAGATAGACCTTCAGCCCTGGAGCTTCTTTCCCTCCTCCAAGTGGCAATTAGATATGTGAGAACTTGCTGTCCGTTACTGGGAGGACACTGGGTGTGTTATATGGTGTCCGCCGGGAGCAGAGTTCTGGCCCACTCCCAGAGCTCTGCTGGCATCTGCTATGCAGTTTGTAGGTGGTGAGGCTTTCATCCGCTCTCTTTGATTTGGCCCCACCCTGGATATCTCTTGCATTGTCTCACTGTCTGAGAACTGGATGTGATTCCCATCTGAGGCCCTCTCTGAACACTGCAGTGTCTCTGGACTACAGAGCCACTTCACCCTTGTTGTGGTGAGACATCACCAGTAACACTAGCTACTCCATTAGTCAAGGCAGCTAAATGCTGTAACAAACAATCCCAAAGTCTTTGGAACACAGCAAAGATTTATTTCTTATCAGTGAGCTACAGCCATTCAGGGGTTCAGGCCTCCTATGTAATCTACATAATGTAGGTCGCCATCTCCTAAGGCCTTGAAATTTTCTAATAGGTCTCTTACCTGTGGCTGGCAGAAGTTAAGACCTATCATTGATTAATTACATAGTTTTTATTTATTCTTTTTGTATGTTCATTTGGTCTTGTTTTGATGCTAGTGATTGAATCAGACCTTTGCTCATGCTAAATACGTACTCTTAACACCGAACTACATCGCCTTTTCCACAAGTTTGGTTTTTTTTTGTTTTTGTTTTTTGGTGTTTTGTTTTGTTTTGTTTATGTTTTGTTTTTCAGAGCTGGGAATTGAACTCATGCCCTTGCACTTGCCAGGCAAGCACTTATTCAACTGAACTATCTCCCCAGCCCCTGTCTCCCACAGCTTTTGACAGACATCCTCTAAATCAGTCTTTAAACTTGGGACACAGAGTCTGAGGGGACATAGAGACTTCCAAGGGATACAGGGCATGGATACTTATAAGGATCTCAATTTCTAGAATTTTATCCTTTGTGTATTATTTCTTCTTTCAAGTGACCTACTGAGAACACCCATGTAATCAAGGTGCCATGCTGGTTCTCATTCACTTCTCTTTGCACAAATGTTTTTCTCTACCTTAGAAACCAGGAGGGAACATGGATTGCACTCCAAATTTTCCTACGATAGCTTACCCTGGGAAAATCCTCCATGCTACCAAAGAAAATTTCAGCATATTGGTGTGTTTAAGATTCTGAAAATAAAGAAATTATAAACTTAGAAAACAGCCTGTCTTTCACTGTGATCATACATTTTCTGTTAAAGATGAACTAACAAGTAAGAAATAAGTTGTCTGTGTCCTTTGTTCATAATCTGAATTAATATGGAAGTACAGGAACAGTAACTTTGTTGGAGACCTTAGCTCATTTTTATTAACAAAAAGTATATTTCTCGAGAAAAAATCTTGTCAAAGCATATAAAGAAAGTATAGGTTTTGGGTAAGAACCTGACATTTTACCCTAAAGGGCAGGTGGAAGGTACATGATAAAGTTGTGTGCTTTGTCTATCTTGGATTTCTAAGTGAGTGATGAGAATAAATATTAACATACTTGTTTGAACTTAAAAAATGAAACTGGCTTTTCTAGGCAGAGTCTTATTGGCTCCTGGGTTTGACAAGGAGAATTCTACTATTGAAGTAATACAAGTTACAGGAGGAGCAAAATTAGAAAAAGAAGGGGGTACTAATTAATTCTGTCAGACAGAAAAGGGCTTAATGGGATTAAGTAATGCCTATTGAGTCATAGAAGATTTTAGATGAAACAACTTCCTTTGATATCTGTTTGAATCTGAAAGCAACTTTTTAGTTTTGTGCCAACAACGAAGAAAAGGACCAATGCCCTTTTCAGTTAGCTTTTAAATCCCAGGAAGAAAACATTATCACAGAAATGACATACAGGGGCCAGGGAGATGACTCAGTAGAATAAGCACCTACCTGGAAAGTGCAAGGTCCTGAGTTTGGTCCCCAGTACCAAAAATAAAAATAA